AGAAAACCATACGCTTCTCTATGGTATTAAGAGAAGACCGTGTGGGGTTCATGAAATTTGGCAGTGGGTTTGAGCCGTTTTGCAAACTTTACAGGCGACATATGTAAATGCAGAGACACGATGTTTTATCGGCAAGCGGTTGACGTTATTTAAAAAATCTCGTAATGAGAATATCTTTTGAACCTGAACTACACCCTTTCCTTGAGTGTAAAATTGGAAGAAGACGTATTTTTCTACCAAATATGTAAAAGAATGAATATTTTTACGCATGTTTTCCATGAAATATAATTGCATTTTTAAGATCATCGAAAATCAATGAGAAAAATGAATGCTACTTTAGTAGTCATTTTTTACAGAGTGTGGTTTTTGCATGCAGCCGGAAAGAAGTTCATTCGAAAGCTGGCATCTCGAGGTAACTGAATTATTATGGAATTATTCTGCATGAAGATTAGGTTTACAACCCTACTTTAGTAATCTTTTCGAAACAAAGACGCATTTCTGAATTCCGGCCGATATTTCATGAGGTAGCACACCTACTGTAGCATCCGACATTTTGTTAATTATCACTTTTTGAGGATGCTGAATGTCGGTTTCTATAAGATCGACGAATCACCATAGGCAGGGCATGTTGGCCACAGGCATCGCCCTGGAGTTGAGAGACGCACAGTTTAACACAAGCATAAATGTTCACGCGGTCATGTAAACTACCCTCAATAATTCAACACACTGTGTTGACAGACTAGCTGGCAGGTCGTCACAGTTTGACGGACAGAAAGATCGAGGTCCTGACCGCTAGACTGGTTAGTTACTTAATTAATCTTGACCACAATGAGTGTTGCAGCTGCATGGTGGCATGCATAGGCTACTTAGCTTTGTCAGTCGCTGCACGCACACACAAGTCCAGTAGCCGGAAGTCTGTCCTGCCGTCGGTGGGTGTGGTAATAACAACCGTAGGTGGGCTAACTCATGAAATCGCAACAGAAATTCCAAAAATCGTCTTCGTTTCGAAAAGATTAATTAGGTAGGGTTGTAAAGCTAATCACCCTGCAGCATAATTCTATAATAAGTTAGTTACCCCAGGACGTCGGCTTTCGAACAAACTTCTTTTTTGCTGCATCGACAAATCAGACTCCGTAAAAAATGACTACTTATGTAGCATGCATTTTTTCATTGATTTTCGATGCACTTAAAAATTCAATTATATTTCACAGAAGGCATGCGCAAAAATATTTATTCTGTTGCTCAGTTGGTCGACTTTTACGTCTCCTTTAAATTTTACACTCGAAGGAAGAATATTATTTGGTTTTAGAAAACTTTTGCAATTCCCGAATAATTTTGAACCCGCTCTACCGTCACACTTGGATTCAGGGTTTCTAAAATACAAGCCGTATATTTTTCGCGTACTGAAAACCATACATTTTTCTGCGGTATAATGGGATGCGCATATGGGATTCATAAAAGTTAGCAGTCGATTTGAGCCTCATTATTAACTTTACAAGCCATATTGGTAAATGCAGAGACTTGACGTTTTATGAAGGATCGTTTCACGGTATTAAAAAATCTCACGATAAGAAACATTTTTAAAGCCGAATTATGCCTTTCCTTCGAGTATAGGCTTGGAAGAAGACGTAATAGTCTACCAAATGGGCAATAGAATGAATATTTTTGCGCATGTTTTCCATGAAAATAATTGGACTTTTAGGTGGCATCGAAAATCAATGAGAAAAATTTATGCTAAATAAGTGGTCATTTTTTACAGAGTGTAGTTTTCGCATGCAGTCGGAAGTAAGTTCATTCGAAGGCCGGCATCCTGTGGTAACTGAATTATTATATAATTATTTTGCATGATGATTAGTTTTACAACCCTACTTAATTACTCTTTTCGAAACGGAAACGCATTTCGAAATTTCTGTTGACATTTCATCAGTTAGGCCACCTGCTATATGCAAAACAAGCCTGTTTCCCGTACAAATCACCACTGCGTATTTGGAGCCGTTTGGCTGCCTCCTGACTTCTTATGACCCAGTAATCAGGATCCAAATATTGTGAAACTGCACTACCTAACACGCACATGACAGTGGCGTGAAGGCCTTCCATTCCCCATGAGGCGCCGTCCTCAGGTTTAGTGTCAGGTCTCGATGGTTCATCCTAGCGTGACCAGGTGGGCAGAGCGAATCGAATGCCGGGAAACGACCGCGTCGAAGCCCATCCGCAACTGTACCGATCTAGTCCGACTGCTGTAACTTGGAACTTGGCTGAACTCTCTGACTTCCTGTCAACTGAATAAAGCTCACTTGTAGGATGCTTATCTTCAAAAGGCCCCTCCGTCCAAACCAGTGGCTCCATGAAGCTGTGCTGAATTTTACGACCACACCCAACTGCGACTGATGAATTAAAGCAGATGGGGTTGTTGGAGTAATATTTCCAACGTGGATGGATCTGTTTATGCAGTATATAGAGAATGATCAACTGTGCCAGGCCAGCGAATACGAAGTCAGTATACCAGGTTAGCTTTTGCGTCCTAGCTTGTATTTTGTCATTTTGACCTATTCTTCCCATTCGGACACGAGAGGTGTAGTAAAAGAAATAAAAAGAGAAGGGGAGAGAGATAAAGAGCGAGAGAGGTCAGGGCCAGGAGATTCTGCTTCATTATAATCCACTTCATGTACACGTCGACACCATCCCCCCTACTGATAACGATTATTAGTATTCGAAGTCGCCCGCTTCGGAATAAGGTCTAATGGCCTCGGAGCTCTAGGCGTGCAGTAGAAGCGTGTGCGTGTGTCGGGGTCGCAGGCGCTGATTGTTCGGCCTCATTGCGATGGACTCACCAGGTCGATACGTTATGGGGACAGACATCGGCTGGATGGGCGATGATGGGCAGAGTAGCAGGAGCGCCCTATTGATTATTTTGGTAATAGCTGCAGTAGTAGTAGTAGTAGTAGTAGTAGTAGTAGTGGTGGTGGTAGTAGTAGTAGAAGTAGTTGTGGTAGTGGTAGTAGTAGTAGTAGTAGACGTAGTAGTAGTAGTAGGAGTGGTGGTGGTGGTGGTGGTGGTGGTGGTGGTGGTGGTGGTGACTAGAGCTGTAGAGATGTGCAGTTGTGTGTCCCGATGATGGTTATAGTAGGTCGCATACTTGCTTGCATATGTAGACTACGCCTAGCGTCCATGCACTAGCGCCCCACTCTTACTTGCGGCTCCCCGAAGCTAGGCTCTGTCTATCGGCCACACCCCGGTAACCGCCTCGACTGGTGGGCTAAGCCAGGTGAGGATATCAGAATGTGTATCTCCACATACGGAAATTCGGCTCCACTTCCACCATCGTTGGCCAGACGGATCACCGCATCGCCACCTCTAAGA